TTCCTGCTCCACAGGAGCATCTATGGATGAGTTCCTTGCTTTGGGCAGATTTATTCAGAGTTGAGTTGGTTGGGTTTTTTTGTTTGAAAGGTAAGTTGAGCAAGTGGGGCTTGTTTTATTTAACATGCACATTACTCTGCCTGGTGTTAGTCACAGTGCAGGCAGCACGCTGCTGTTGGTCCCAGGTTTGTGTCCTGCTCGTTCCAGCTCTGCAGCCTCCAGCCAGAAACATGCTGGGCACTGGAAAGTTTCTCTTTTATCACCATGGAACGTGGACAGGCAGGACCAAGATCCCATAGGTCTGAGCCTGGGGGCAGGCTATGGCACCTGTTGGATGTGGAGCTAACAAAACCCTTTGCTTTGCCTGCTGGCATTGCCTGCAGCCTACTCAGGATTGGTTTCACACCCATGAGCTGCTCCCTCACAGCCTGGAGATGCTTGAGATCCACAGGGAGGAGGATGGATGCTCAACTCCACACTACCTGGCAAGCTCAAAGTCAGACGCCAACCCAGGCTGTGAGGATGGAGGGGGATGTTACTGTGGCCACATAGATCCAAGCTTGGCACCTTGATCTGGGCTTTGTCTTTCCAAGATGGATGAATTCAGTACCAAGTCAGCTTTCTCTGCATGCAGGTCCCTCAGATGGTGACTCTGGATGGCCTTCTCAATGAACAAAAAGACCATACATTGGGAAAGCAAGCTGTAGAGACCATATAGAGCAGATCTGGTCCCTCAGAGAAGCCATCCCATCATAGCTGTGACTTTTTTCCAGGGAAGGATGGTCATAGCCTCAGCTCTTGATAGCAGCAGAAGGCAATCAGGATTGATGATCCTTTTTACTGCCTGGGAGAGCTCTTTGAAGAGGAATTTGGCAGCAGCAGGGAAAGCTGATGGGAAGAAATGGCTTGGAGGAATTTGTGATGTTTTATCCTGTCTGCAACAGCCTTTCTTCTCCACCCATCTGTGCCAGCATTCCCAGCAGAAAGCTGTATCTGAGCAGCAGTGAGGAGCAGTGGGGTTGTGCTAGGGCATCCTGCTGATAGAAGTGACTGTGAAGCAACACTGATGGGTCACCAGCCCCTGAGCTTCTCCTTGATGGGTCATCCCCATGGATGTGCTGCCTGCCTAGCTAGGAAAGGAAAGCTCTCCAGCCCTTCCCTTGACAGTCACCGAGGGGAAGCTCATGTCCTTGATCTTGATGTCTCTTGATCCTCTGGGTGGACTGTTGCTGGACTGCACTGTTGGGGTCAACCAAGAGGCATGGCAAAGGGATGAAAAGGAAAGGGGAAACTCTGGGGCTTCACTGACAGACATGCTGCAGTCCAGCACAGAGAAGGATGAGCTCCTTACCAAAGCTTTTACTCTGCAAGTGTGAAATCCTGTTAGTTCAGCCTCAGTTTGCACCCTCAGAGGACTGCCTGGGAACAAGGCTGCCTCCCCCGAGGCTCAGCCAGCAGGGCACATGCTCCATTCAGCTGCCCACCACCAGCCCCCCTTCTCCTCTCACAACACCAGCAGGGCCTCCTGAAGCCGCAGTAATTATGCCCGATTACTCAGACCTCGTATAGAGGGCACAAGCATCAATCCCTCCATTTGCAGCCCATCCCTGGCAGCCCCACACTGGAAGGATACATCCAGGCAGGAGCAAAATTTTGAGTCCTGGGGGGATGTAAGAAGTAAGGAATAGCTGCTAAGAAATGCTTCAGGGAGCAATGAGCTGCCTCCCATCCCATAGCAGCACAACTCCACATGCAGAGAAGCATACTGTGGTGATTGAAACCTGCTGCTTCATTTTCTTTACCTGCCATCATTGCAGCAGCACAGGAGAGCCCTGACTGAGTAGGTGACACCTCTGGTGGGAGGTTGTCTTCCACCTGCAAGAAGTCAGGGGAAAACCATGATAAAACAGATGGAAAAAGGGATGGCAGAGGGCAAAGACTTAGGAAACCACAAAGCAGATGTAAAGGAAAGCATGATGCTTGTGAGTCTGGGGTTTACAACCCACCCTGGGCTGCAGGACCCCCAGTTACAGATGAAACCCATACCAGCATGATCACGGCAAGTGAAAGGGGCTGCCCCACAGCATCCCTGCTCCTCCTTACCTCCCACTCCCGGCAACAGTCTCGGAGCTGTATCAGCCAGTCAGGCTCCAGCATCTGATGCTGCTCTGGCATCTCCAGCAGCAGAGGGTCACAGAGCTTCAGCCGCTCGGCCAGCTGCAGAGCCAGGAGGGCAATGACACTCATCACACATTTCAGCTCCACAGGGAAGAGACCAGCTCTTGCAGTAATTGCACATAGTTGGGCACACAGGCCCAGGAGAAAATGGCACCAGAGCCACACTTCAACATACAGGGCTAAAACACTAGCCTCTAGTGCAAGATTTATTCCCTCTCTTGCATTGCTACAGAGAGGTGCTATAGCATATGAGCCTCCCAGCAGGGCTACCTCAGACACCTCTGCAAAGATGTCAGAATGCCAACGTCAAAGATGCTCTCCACATCACATCACAGAGGCAGGTAACTATTACCATCCTTCTCTACTCCAAGGAAAACAAGCACCTTCCAGACCCCTGCCAGCCAGCCTGGGCCACGGGCAGGTCTGCGGGATACCCCACCATGAGCCTCGGAAGCAGACTGGCTCCGAGGGCTCTGCATCAACCCCTTACCTACCCTGTGAGCATAGAAGGGAGCTGGTAAGGTGTCAGCAAGGGCTCGCCTGGCTGTTTCCTCACCCGGCTTCGCAGCAAACATTACCATCGCTAGTAACCACACAGAAAACACAAAAGCAGGGACAGGAGACACCCCAGGT